AAGGCAGTCGCTTAACCAACTGAGGCACCCAGGCGCCCCCAAAATGTCTTTTAAGTTCTAGGTTCACAAGTTACATGTCATTACTTTGCCATGTTGTCTGGCCACACAGATCCACTCTGATCCAGTGTGGGAAGAGCCTACACGAGGATATTAATAATAGGCAGGGATCACATGACGGTCTTGGCTGGCTCCACTGGAAAAGTCATCTGATTCCCCAGATTGACCCGGTCCCAAAATAATTTGAAGTTGCTCATTAGGCAGTAAATATTAGGTCAACTCTGGGTGTGTTTTAACTGGCATCTGAACACCTGAACTTAAAGAATATTGCACGGACCATGTGAAAATATATTTTATATGCGTGTGTACTTATATATGAATGTATGTTGAAAAAGTTTGCATTTTTAAAGCAAAACTGCAACTTTTGAAAAAGTTTAGAAATTGTGTAGTAGCAATCACTAGTCTAATAAATTGAATCCTAAAAAAAGAATTAGACTGGAGGGTAACATCTGTATGTGCTTCAGGAGAAGCTTCACTGTTATTTTAAAATAAAACTGCTGTGTCAAATACGGTAGCCACCGACCACATGTGGCTATCAAACACTTGAAATGTAACTAGTCTACACGCAGATGTGCCATAACATTAAAATTAAAGACTTAGTTAAAAAAATTGTAAATGATCTCACTAATATTTTTCATACTCGTTACATGTTACAGCGATGGTATTTTGGTTATGTTGGGTTAAATACATTCAAACTAATTTTACCAGTTTCTTTTTACTCTAGCTACGACAAAACTTAAAGTTTCATGTAATTGCTTTTGTGGCTCACATTCTATTTCTTTTGGCGATTGCTGATTTGAAATGGAAAAGTTTGGCTGGATTTAAAATCCTTTGGCGGGATCACAAGAAAACAATCTGAATAAAAACAAAAGCTGCTAGATTTAAAGAATGGATCGTTTCTCTGAACTCTGCGTTAAAGAGATTGAATAATCTGAAACCTGGTTAACGGCAAGAACAGAGAATTTTTGGAAAATGGGGAAACAGTCTCCTGTTTGTTACTGCCTACTTGTTTCTCTCTTTTTTTTTTTAAGATTTTATTTATTTGAGAGAGAGAGAGAGAAAAAAGGAGCGGGGGGAGGGGCAGAGGGAGAGGGAGAAGCAGGCCTCCTGCTGAGCAGGGAGCGCAAAGCGGGGCTCCATCCCAGGACCCTGGGATCATGACCTGAGCAGAAGGCAGACGCTCAACCGGCTGAGCCACCCAGGCGCCCCTCTTACTGCCTACTTGTGCAAATGAAGCTGTCCATCAGTGGTAACCCTAAAAAAATGGGAAGAGATCACCTTTAGAAAGTCATCTTGGTCAGGGATTGCATACACGCTTGGTCCTCATTATTCATGAACCAATGTTTATCAGTTTGTCCACTCACTAAGATTCGTTTGTAACCCCCCAATCGTTGCTCCCAGGGCTCTCACAGTCATTGCAGATATGAACAGAATGGCAAAATATTTGGGTGGTCCAAAGTGTAGGTTTCCAGCTGAGGTAAAAAAAAGTGACACTCTGCCTTCTTGTTTCTTCTCTCATACTGTATACAAGTGTCCTTTTTTTGGTTTATTTATTGACCTTTTTTTTTTTCTTTTTTTCACGTATCTGTGCTTTTCGTTGGTGATTCTGCTGTTGGAAATGGCCCGGGGATTAGAGCCACGGTGCTATCTAGTGTCCTAAGCCCAGGAAGGCTGGGATGTGCCTTATGGAGAAAATCCACATGTTAGATAAGCTTCCTTCAGGCACGAGTTTGTAGGGAAGGAAAAATAATTGTCCCTCTACCCTTCTGGGTTCTTAGCTGAGACCCCTGTAATAAAAGATTAACAAGAGAAAAAACAAACTGTTTTGTTTGTTTGTTTATTACCATGTAATTTGCTTTGCTTTGTTTCTATTGAAGTCTGGTTGACACATAATGTTCCATTAGTTTCAGGTACAACAAGTCTGGAGCTGTGCTGTGCTCCCCGCAAGTGTAGCTGCCATCTGTCACCATACGATGCGATCACAATGCCACTGACTGCATCCCCGATGCTCTGCCTTTTATCCCCATGACTTATTCATTCTGAAACTGGAAACCTGTGCCTCCCACTCGCCTTCGCCCATTTTGCCCAGCCCCCCGCCCCCGCCCCTGCCCCGGCAGCGAGCAGTGTGTTCTCTGCATTTATGGCTCCTTGTTTGTTTCTTCATTTGTTTTGTTTTTTAGATCCCACATGTAAGTGAAATCATATGATATTTGTCTTTCTCTGTTGGACTTACTTCACTTAGCACAATACCCTGTAGGTCCATCCACGTTGTCGCAAATGGCTGAGTCAAACAGAAGTTTATTAACACAGCTACCTCGTGTACAGGTGGGAGATATAGGGAACTATGAGTAACTCCTCGAGATGGCTTAGGACTCAGGATTAAATGCCATCTTCATAGGGGAAGGGGAGGGGATGTAGGTCTCCTGGGGCACAGCAGACGGTTTTTAGGAAAGCTAAAGGGGCCTCAGAAGACTAGATGGGAGGTCGACAGTTCTGGACAGAGTGTGTCTGGGTGTGGAGCCGACTTCTAGTCTCGTCTCCTGTGATGAGAGTCCGTCTTCCCTGCTGAAGACACTCCCGGGAGGGGATTGATGACCACCCCGAGGTCCTTTGGAGGAGCTGTCTTCAGGCAGGTGAGGGAGATCAGAGCGTCTCTCCTGCGCCTGCTGTTTTCCAGTGTCTTCAGTTCAAAGTAATCAGTGTCGGGGTGGCATATTCTGCCGCCCTTCGTGTTTTGGTGCTGTGGTGGTGAGTTTAATGTTAATGAACGAACAGTACGTTCCGTCCAGAGAAAGGAGTAAGAAATGTGCAGACCTGTGCAGGAGGCTGTTCTGGAAAGTACTACAGTAACACCTACAGTGTGAGATGGAGCAAAGGAGACAGAAATGGGGCTAAATGTGTGGATTTATGAGATGACTATTCTTTAAAAAACAATTAAAAATTGGGCGCCTGGGTGGCTCAGTTGGTTAAGTGACTGCCTTCGGCTCAGGTCATGGTCCTGGAGTCCCGGGATCGAGTCCCGCATCAGGCTCCCTGCTCGGCGGGGAGTCTGCTTCTCCCTCTCCTGCTCCCCCCTCTTGTGCTCTTTCTCTCTCACTCTCTCTCTCAAATAAATAAATAAAATCTTTAAAAAAAAAACAATTAAAAATTGCAGTGGAGAGCATTGCTGGGAGGCTGAAAGCCAAAGAAATTTACAGCCATGATACCCAGCATCAGGAGAATCGTTATGCCCTTCTTGGCTGGCTCACGTGTCTCCAAATAAAAGTGTTGTGCGTGGAAGAGCAGGTTTTCAGTGTTAATGAAACTGGCTCGTTTTACAAGGATGTTCGCAAATGAATCCGTATAACACAAATGGCCTTTCAGTTGAAAACGTTCTATCAGAGGCTTGCAGGAACCTGACCCTAAGAAATAGTCCAGTAGTTACTAATGCAGTGTTTGCAGGAACTCTACAGAGTGTCACTAACTACTGTGGGTAATGGGAATCAATTCTTTCATGCGCACAGCCTGTTTATTTTTAATAAATAAACCCTATTTTTAATAAATAAATTGAAAAAAATCAACTTTCTCACTTAAAAATTGAAAAGACTTGAGAAGTTTTATACACGTTCAATATTTAATATCTTCCTTAGTATTTTATATTCTTGTAATTATGTAATATAAAGAAAATACTGTAATCTTTTCTATCAAGGCTCTGTAAATGGCTTCCGTGCCTCCAACTCACTTCTACGTGTTATATAAACAGCAACATATCTGTGTTGCTATCAGATGAGAAAAATTGGGAATTACGACATCACAGTCTTATTTAGAACTCATTTATATGTGACTCAAACAGCCTCATGACCATCCTTGACAAAATGGATAACATATCCATTAAAAAGAATAAGGCAGCTCTAAGTGTAGTGAAATGGAAGTGGCTTCAAAATATACTAAATGAGAAAAGCATAGTACCATATTGTGTGTACCTAGATTTTTGTTGCTGCTGCAGCAAATTATCACAAATGCCGTGGCTTAACACAAATTTATTATTTTACAATTCCATAGGTGGGAAGTCTGACACAGGTCTTAACTGGGCTAAAATTAAGGTGTTAGCTGCTGCATTCCTTTCTGGAGGTTCTAGGGGAGAATTATTTATTTATTTAAATTCCATTAAGGAGGGCACATGATGTGATGAGCAGTGGGTGTTAGTCACAACTGATCAATCATTGAACACTACATCAAAAATTAATGATGTACTTACTATGTGTTGGCTAATTGAATTTATTTATTTATTTGAGAGAGGGTGCACGTGAGAACACTTGAGTGGGAGTAGGGGGAGCAGAGGTGGAGGGAGAAGCAATCTCCCTGCTGAGCGGGGAGCCCAACTCAGGGCTCCATCAGTTGATCAATCCCAGGACTCAGAGATCATGACCTGAGCTGAAGGCAGATGCTTAACTGACTGAGCCACCCAGGCGCCCCTAATTGTTTTTATTTTATTTTGTTTTGTTTGCCTTTTCCAGCTTCTAGGGGCTGCCTGTATCCCTTGGCTTCCTACCTCTTCAAAGCTAGCAATGTGGCATGCCTGACCATTCTTCCATAGTCATCTGTCCACAACCTAGAAAAATTCTCAGCTTTAAGGATTAGTATATGATGACATTAGGCCCACCTGGATAATCCAGGATAATCTCCCCATCTCAAAATCTTTAACCTGAATGACACCTGCAAAATCCCTTTGGCCCTGTAAAGGAATCTTTTCACAGGTTTTAAGGATTAGGATGTGGACCTCTTGGGGAGAAGGCATTATTTTGCCTGTAGTATGCACCTTTGTGTATAAGAAATATTTATTTAAACAGACTATCTCTGGAAGGGCACACAAGAAATTGGTAACAGTACTAGCTTCTGGGGAGAACTGGGTACCTGGGGGATACGAGGCTGACTTTACAATGTATCTTTCATTCATTTTGATTTTTTTATCGGTGTGCATATATTTATTTAAAATAAGTGAAGAAAAAATTTTAAAGTCTTAAACTGCGTGGTGGTTCATCAGTATTGTATTGTTTGTCTGTGTACATATCTTAAATACTGCTTAAAGAAAAAACCCAGGGGCACTTTACTGGTTCAGTCGGTAGAGCATGCAACTCTTGATCTCAGGGTTATGAGTTCAAGCCCCGGTTGGGCGGTGAGTTTACTTAAAAAAGAAAGAAAAGAAAAGAAACAAAAAAAATCCAACTGCTTCTCACCACTAGGATGGTCACTAGATGTCGCTCGCTCACTCTTCCTGGTCTGTCCTGGTCCCACACAGGGTTTCACCTCGCCTGTGTGTTCATCTTGGGGGATGAATGATGATAAGGCTTCAGCACACAGACTAGTTGCATTCAATTTCACCTATTTATTTATAGTCCCATTATGTTTGAAGCCTGTTTCCTCCCCTGTGAAACGGGGTTATAATAATACCAGCTCATAGAATTATTATGAGGACTATACAAGAATATCTCTAAAATGCATAAACATCTCTCAAAAGGCACACCTAGTAAGCACTGGATAGCTTAGCTATTAATATTAACATCCACCTCCCTGGTTAGTGAGTTTCCCCAACAACTTTCTAATTGTGTGCCAGTTTACTAGTCTTTGGATGCCTCCAATACTTGTTCCAGGTAAGAAAGAAGTGTATCTTGCATTTAGCTTTTTGTGAAATACCTTATTCTAGAATCACACTGATTTCCCCAAATAGGGCCAATTCCACAAATCCAAGATGCATACCAAATAAAGTTAAGATATACCAGAAATCTATGACTCTTGTTAACTGATCTCTCAGTGAATACCTTAAGGGTTATGATACAATTAGCAGGAATTAGTAAACTCATTTTTTATGAAACCCAAGCTAGCACCACACACATTAAAAGGATGTTTTCTCAAATGTGTTTTCTCCCTATTTCCAATCAGAAAATAAAATTTTAAAAAAGCTGAAGAGCTCTATTAGGATCCCAAATTGAAGCAAAAGACAAAGGTGAAACACATAGTAGGTGCTCAAGAAATGCTACTCTACCCTGTTCTATGGGATGTTGATGTTGTTCTCCCATGCAAGCCTCTTATTTTTATTTTTATTTATTTATTTTTTAAGATTTTATTTAT